TTAGACACTCAATCTGAAAAATCAACACTTAATGTTTCTAGGTCCTATTAGGTATTGTTATATCCTAGGGACAAGAAAGATACATAAAATGAGAAAGAACTCAAAATTATAGAACTTGTGTAAGATTCACAGCTGTCAAGGAATGCAGTTGCATAAAGCATGTGCACATGTGCACACATGCATGCGCACACACACTGTTCTTTATAAGAAAGCATAAATTATGTATGCATGACGTTAAAGATAAGGTAAATTTTGCGACAACAATTGGGGTATTGTAAGCTATTGAGTAAGCAATTCAAAAGAAACAGAGGGTCAGTTTATTTTTTTAATTTATTTATACTTATGTCAGCACATTTTATACACAAGTTGTATAAATGGTTCATAAGTACCTACAGGTGTGTTACCCGAATTGCAGGCTTTCAGGTCTAGTTGTCCAGCCAGACTTGATCCCAGACTGTAGGGGCAGCACTGAGTCCTGTCCACTAGACCACCAGGGGTTGGTGTCTCAGGAAGCTGCAGGAGGAACTCCGCTGACTCTCAGACAAGCAAGTGAAAAGAGGCAAATTTGTTTAGAGAAATAGATATAAGGAAGGTTTATTTTTTTATTTTTTTTTTAGATTTATTTATTTATACATACAAGAACTGGGGTACAGGCCAGAAGTATGGGGAGGTGAGAAGATTCACCAGCGACAGAGTAGGGAACAGAACAGGCAAACTGACTGAAACACACTGCTGAGGGGTACAGTGGGCGAGACAGGAGAGGTCTGCTGCGCCATGTGGGGAGCTCCCTGGCCACCGGGGATTGAACTCATGATGCAGAGGCTTCAAATAGCTTCACAGTGTGGTGCTTAACCACTTGCACCACCAGGGAGGCCTGATATAAGGAAAAGTTTATTAAGGAGAAAAGGAACAGAAACAAAGTAGGACTCACTCTGGTTTTTACCAGATTAACCAGGCCCGCCCTCTGTCAGATCATCTCTTCTAGCCTGGAAATGGAAACAACTATAAAGCCACCAATGTCCTTCTGAGGTCACTTAGATTGTCCTCTGATGGAACCCTGGCTGCTCCCCCATCGTCACCCGCCCCCTCCACACCATGTTCAGCAAGAAGCAGTTACAGATTTAACTGATGCCTCTTGTCCTAACAGCAGTCAGGGGTTCCATCCCTAGAGGGGGGCATGAGAATAGCATGGGAAAAAGCCCCCAAGTAATAAGGGTGGCTGCAAAATGGGGGCAGCAAATTCCAAAGGGGGGTTTGTTACAGGACAGGGAGAGGGGCACCCCAGACCCTGCAAACCTGCCTGCTCTAAATGGGGTCTGCCATCTGCCGCATCAACACAAAACATATGAGGCTTTAATGGGAAGGAACTTTAATACAATTAGGGAACAATACAGGAAAGGCAAAGAATCTAGTTTCTAAATCAAGCACCCAGTTACCCGTCCCCTCGTGGGTAAAAGTGCATCCAAATGGGATTGGCCCAGAGCATAGTCCCAAAGCCTGCCACAAGTCTAAAGCATCTTCCACTGGGGACCCACAGAAAGGGATCAGAAAGAACCAGACAATTCTGAAAGGAAAAGAGCAACATCAAGACAAAAACCGCCATTGTCACCTCCCTAGGGTCTCTCACCCACATCTGTGTCACCTAGTCTACGACCAAAAAAGGCAAGTGCAGTTTCTTCACATGTCTCTCTGCTCCATGTGCCTCCTCCAGGTCTCCTTCTGGCTCCATCCTGCTTCCTTCCTTCCTCAGTCTCCTCTGCAACTTCTTCTCTGCCTGCTCACCCTCCCTTTTGGGTAGAGCAGGGAACCTGAAACCTACCCCTTTTTGGGGGACCACTTTGTTACAGGTTAACCAAACACTTCTAGGGGCAGCAAGACATTCCTGGACAAGGGCAATACGAAGAGGACTAAGATAAGGACTGTGAGCAAAGGAACTCCTGGCACAGCAGCAGTAAGGCAGTGAGTGAGACCACCAAGAACTAACTAATCACAAAGAGACTATAGGGCTTTAGGATAATTAGGGAAAGAAGGCCTATATTCCCTGAGGCACGACTCCTGGGCATATTCCTTGCCCTCCCTGGCCTGGTTCCACCAGCGTGGAAGTCCCACTTTGTTCATTCCTTTTTAATAAAATTTCCCTTATGTTTATTTCTCTATACAAAGTTGCCTCTCTTTGCTTGCTTGCCTGAGAGTCAGCCAAATTCCTGCTGTGGTTTCATGAGACATCAGCCGGTGGTGGTCTAGTGTCTGGGACTCAGCGCTGCCCTGGCAGCCTGGCGTCAATTCCTGGCTGGGAGACTAGACCTGATATTATGGTAATACCCATTTATTTCTCTAATCATTAGAGTGATTAAATAACTTTATCGAGGTCATAAAACTGATACCACAATGCAAGTCAATCTCAGTTCCCTCGGCCAGTAGAGGGAAACAGAGTTTGGAGAGAAAGAAAGTTGAATTTGTCGAGAAATTGTCCTGCTCATTGGCAGAGTGCAAGGTATTTTCAGGAATTTCAAGGGAGTGGAAAGGGGCGTGGGCTGGAGTGAGCATGTCAGTCTTTGAGACACAAGCATCTGGTGATTCTGTCTGAGGCCAGCTTGCTTTAGGTGATCATCAGGAATTCTGATGTATGCTTTGTAGAGAAGCTCTTTTCTCTGGGAATGCAAAAACAAAAACAAAGAAACACAGGTTATTATGCAAAAAACAAAAACAAAGGAAATGAGAGAGCTTATCTGGTGAGGCAGAGGCTAGTATTTCGTTTTGCTGCAGCAAAACAAAGTAAGTAACAAAGCTAAGATCTTGAACCCAGTCATGTCTTGCATAACTAATGTACTCTTAACTGTTACTCTCCCAAGATCAAAGTTATTCTTTTGTAGAATTATCCAGTTGACCTGGGGTGCTTTTACCTAGATTTTTCCTCAATTCCATTTTCTTTTACAGAGAAGAAAGCAATTTAAGGGTTGGAAAAACAGATTTGCCTCTAAGGATTTTGCCAATTCTAATTCTACCAGGTCTTATCAACTGAGCTACTCTCATTACCTTTCCCACTGAAAGGAATTAATACCATCTCCAAATGGATACCGATTTTAATTATTTTTTTGTAAAGGTTTATTAATTTATGCATGCAAGAGCTGGGGTGCAGACCAGAGATGTGGTAGGTGAGAGGATTCACCAGAGAGAGAGTTGGGGAGCAGAACAGGCCAATGTACTGTTGCAGAAATAAATTCTAGCCTTTTACCCAGGCAAGGGAAGAACAAGCGGTACTTCAGGACTGGTAAGGTCAGGAGAAGCTTTATCACTCATGCATGAGGTCCCAGAGCTGGGTAGTCCTGTAAGGTTAGAGCACCAGTCTAGGGACAAAGGGTTTCTTTTATACATAACCAACTAACATTGATAGCATCTGTCAGTAAGCACAAAGGTTTGTGACAAAAGACAGGTATTTTGGGATGCCCTGGGAGATCAATCAGCCTGGCCAGCTGTCTGACCTTGTTAAAATGTAACCTCCTTTAGGTAATCTCATCTAGATAGGCTTTAGAGATGCAAAACTTGTTTATATTTACTTTGCATTATTTACTGCACCAGACCTATGACTCTTTTAGCAGGAAACAGGAAAGATTTCATTTGCTTAGCAGTTTCCTTTCAGTACAGAAGAGGTCTGCTGCACCATGTGGGTCTCCTACCTGGCCTCGCTGGGGATAGAACTCATGCTGCAGTGGCTGTGGATACCTTCATAGTGCTACATCTTAACGCTTTGTTCCACCAGGGAGATCCCTACACAGATTTTAAAGAGTTACTGGAACATGAAACATCACCCCTGAATAACGTTATCTAGTATTGTAACAGGGTGGTCCCCAGGAAAGGGGGAGGTTCCAGGTTCCCTGCCCCACCCAAAGGAGGGTGGAGCTGAGCAGGGAGAGAAGAAGCTGCAGAGGAGACTGAGGAAGGAAGGAAGCAGGATGGATAGCCAGGAGGAGACCTGGAGGAGGCACATGGAATGGAGAGACATGTGAAGAAACTGTGCTTGCCTTTTGGTCGTGTACTGGGTGACACAGATGTGGGTGAGACCCGTGGGAAGGTGTCAATGGCAGCTTTTATCTTGATTTTGATTTTGCTCTTTTCCTTCTGGGCTTGTCTTGTTGTTTCTGACCCTTTTTTTGTGGGTCCCCACTGGAAGATGCTTAAACTTGTGGCAGGCTTTGGGGCCTTGCTCTGGGCCAATCCCATTTGGATGCACTTTTACCCACGAGGGGACGGGTAACTTTGGGTGCTTGATTTAGAAACTAGATTCTTTGCCTTTCCTGTATTTTTCCCTAATTGTATTAAAGTTCCTTCCCATTAAAGTCTCATGTTTTGTGTTAATGCGGCGGATGGCAGAACCCTATATAGAATAGGCAGGTTTGCGGGGTTTGGGCTGCCCCTCTCCCTGCCCTGTAACAGTATCAATGACATTTTTTATTTACCTCTTATTTTTTAACTTAATTAATTTATTAAATTGATACTGAAATGTCAATTTTTTATGTCCTTGTAGTGTTTTGATAGTATAGGAGACACCCTCAGGTGTAGTCACTGTAGCATTCCCACTGCCAAAGCACCCAGTGACCACCACAGTCCATTTCCTGACCACCAACTCTCACCCTTCCCCTGACCCCATCCCTTCTGATAGCTGCAGATCTGGGGCAACTTTCAAGGGTTGGTTTGAAAGTTTGTCTTTATTTGGTTTGTCTGTATTCCATTTTTAAGTGCCATCATTCAGTATTTGGTGTTTATTTCCCCTTCTGGCTTATTTCACTTTTATCATCCCTTCCAGCTCCAACCATGTTGCTGCAAATAAAGAAAATGACAAAAATGAAAACAAATCAAACACGATATAAAAATGACATAACTGTAATTTTATTCTTCTTCTATTATTTCTTAGACAGGAGATTTAAGCTGTTCTTGATTCATCGATCACTCAAGTCAACTCAAGTATCCTGAAGCCATCTATTTTGGTGGAGAAAAGCAGGATGTTGGAGAGTAATTACACCCTACCAACTGAGTTCCTACTTGTTGGATTCACAGATTATCTACCTCTCAGAGTCACATTATTTTTAATATTTCTCATTGTATATATACTAACTGTGGTGGGAAATCTGGGTTTAATCATCCTAGTTAATACCAATACAAGCCTCCAAACACCCATGTATTATTTTCTCAGCAACTTGTCTTTCTTAGATATTAGCTATTCCACAGCAATTGCTCCTAAAATGCTGGTGAATTTCTTAGCATCCAGGAAAAGCATCTCTTATTATGGCTGTGCACTACAAATGTTTTTCTTTGCTTGTTTTGCTGATGCTGAGTGCCTCATCCTGGCAGCCATGGCCTATGACCGCTATGCAGCCATCTGTAACCCTCTGCTCTATTCTACACTTATGTCTAAGAAAGTGTGTGTCTGCTTCATTGTGCTGGCATACTGCAGTGGAAGCTTCACCTCACTGGTTCATGTCAACCTCACATTCAGGCTGCCATTTTGTGGCTCCAATGTTGTCAATCATTTTTTCTGTGATATCCCCCCTCTCCTGGCTTTATCGTGTGCGGACACCTATATCAATGAGCTTCTGCTCTTTGCCTTGTGTGGCTTCATTCAGACCAGCACTTTTGTGGTCATATTCATCTCCTATTTTTGCATCCTCATCACTGTCTTGAGCATGAAGTCCTCAGGTGGCAGAAGCAAAACATTCTCGACTTGTGCTTCCCATCTCGTAGCGGTCACCTTATTCTACGGGACACTCTTGTTTATGTACTTACGTCCCACCACCAGCTACTCCTTAGATACTGATAAGGTAGTTGCCGTGTTTTACACGGTGGTCTTTCCCATGTTTAACCCAATAATCTACAGCTTTAGAAACAAGGATGTAAAAAATGCCCTCAAAAAACTATTAGAAAAAGACTGGAGTTTCAAATGACTAAGAATCCAAATCACTCAAGAATACTCAAAGCATAGCCTACCCTTCCAATCTCATTATCAATACTAAGCCACAAACAGCCTGATATGTCAAATATTTTAAGTTAATAACTGTTTTCCAGTTATAAAAGTAGTTTTTCATCCTCACTACTGTGAAATGCCTCATTCACAGAAATGTTTTATCCAAAATGTCTTTGCTCTATGAAACATTCCTGAGTTAAAATAATAACTGCTTAATTAGTGTTTTCAAAATACTTTTTTACATTGTTTCACTATATTCTTTATCATATTCTATTGAAGGTATATATTGCCTTGCCCATTAACCCATCCCTATTAGAAGTTTCTTGGCAACAAGGAACATATAAGCTGGTTTACTTTTCTGGTACCTACTAGAGAAAGGTATACGGCCTATCCTCATTATGTGTATAATTAATGGATGAAAGGATAGAACATTTAAATGACTAGATGGATGGATGGTTGGGTGGATGGCTAGATGAGTAAGTAAATCCAATTTTCTGTGTTTGAGAAAATAAGTGCTCTTTCTATACTAATATCTGCATTTTAATACAGACAAGTCTCTCATTCAGGACATAAATAAAGTCTATATGATGTGTCCATATCTTTATTACCTTTACATTGAGCATTAGGAGTTAGGGACAAGTGTCTTTTATGGCAGGAGTTGAAAAATTCCAGTTTTTCTAGTTACAAAAATACATAGTTATTTTTGATAGATTTATCTTTATGATAGTTTTATCTTTACCTTTATTTAAAGCACATACTAAGTGTTTATGTTCAAAGCAATACAGTCATAAGTAAATATTTCTTTGGAAAGTATGAAATGTTTGCCATATATTGATATCATAGAGACTAAGACTGGCAGTAGTATTGACTAAGAATCTATACTTTCTTCTAGCTGCAAACTCTTAAATATAGTGAAGAAGGTCTGCTATCATTTATAAATAATTGCTGTTAGTTCTAGTTGAATATGAATGTTTCATTGCATTGTTATATAAATTTAGTCATTGTTGTGTACAAAATCCAGGATTTTACTATAAGATAATACATCATTTTTCCTACATGAAAGCTAAAAGATTTTAGCCTTTAAAGTGTATTAGGGAAAAAAAAAAAACAGTCCTGCTTTAGTTGATGAAAGAATGAGATCCAGCAGCCATATGGCATGGCCAAACGCTGGGTTCTAGCCCTTTCCTGCAAACTCAAAATTCATTAGTTAAGAGAACCAAACTTCTCCTACTACCTGACCTAGAGGCTAAAAAAAACAGCCTTGTAGTTAAGACAATGCTTATGAAGAAAACCTAGGTCACCCCATATCACTGGGTGAGGGAAGGCTGGAGTTCAAGTCTTTCAGTGAGAACTGAATGTCAAAACATGTACCTGATCAGCATTTGTTTTGGTTGTATATTGTTTCAATTCACAACTTAGTGGTTAAAACCAGCACCATTCACTTTGCTCAGACATCTCCCATGTGAAGAAGACTGAGTGGGGATGAAGTCTCCCTGTTTCCCCATGTTTGGTGTCTCATTTGGGATCATTTGCATAGCTCAGACCGGAGTACCTGGAACTTGGCTATGCATCATTTTTTTTTTTTCCCCATGCAATCAGGTCATCTCGATTTGGTCTCTTCAAGTGTTTTTCAAATATATGGTCTTAGGGAAGTTCTAAGAGCAAGTGTTCCATAACCAAAGCAGATGTTGTTAGCCTCTCATGTTCTAACTTTGAAATTCCCAAAACTCACTTCTACAGGAATAGCAAATCACCTCAGTTAACTTCACCCAATAAAAAGACCACTGAAGTTATTGTCACAATTGTCCTTCCTTAGTATCTGTGAAGTTCTGACTGTTAGCATCCAATCAAAGCATGATTTTGGATGGCTAAGAAACATTTCTGGAAAAATGAGGATGGTTGCCTAAACAATCATAGGGTATAGACCAGCATATACATTTGTCCTCATAGGAGGATTGTGTCTGTATTTTAAAAAGTCTGTGTCTTTGAGAACACAGCCATGATGAACGTTTTTATTTATTAAAGGAGGTGTTATCAATGAGAGCACAGAGGCATTTACTGCACGGTGATTGAGAGGACCTATGACTGTGGGATTAGTCTGGGTCTCCAGAGACAATAAGGAAGCTCGTGATACAGCCTGTGGACATCTGAGTTTTCCTTCTCCACAGCGAGCTATAGATTCTGGCCCCAAAAGAAAGGAAACCTGTTATTATAAAACAACAACAACAACAACACGAAAGCCCTGTTTTAACAATATATCCTTTATCCATCACGAAAACCTGGTCTTCTTCACTATCCTGCTTGGTCTGGACTTAGTTTAGTTGTGAGTATGTTTAGGAAGTGGTAATACAGGTTTATTTTGAACTTTCAATATTTTCTGTTACCTCCCCATATTAAAGAATCTGTATTATTTTAGTATTGTTCCAAAATAGACAGAAATCAATTTTCTAACCTGGGTTGTTTTTTTTTTTTTAACTTTCCAAGTTCTTTTCACTTTGTGAAGAAAAGGTAATATTTGCATATTGCCCATATTCTGGATTTTCTTTTGACCATATGAGAGCATGTATGTCTAGGCTATTTAGTACTTGATTTATATGTCAACTAAAAGCTTCTTGCACATTCATGGAAAACTCTTTGAAATGGAATATCTCAGAACTTTAATGCACTGAAACTACAGAATAAGGAAAACAGTTTTTCTAAATTTTATATAATAATAATAATTTTGGGGAATTTTTAGAATTTATCTTATGATTTCAATAGTACTATTTTGGGATATTTTATATTTCCTTGTATTTGTCACTACATTCTGTCTGTAATAAAACCAGGGCACACACACGGAGACTGGATTCCCAGAGCTTAGGACTCTGAGCTTTTGCTACAAGCTGCTACTTCACCCCATTAGAACCCTAGTGAGCCTGAATACAATGGTCTTCAAATCAATATGTCTTATTTGTAAATTAGACTATCAGCTAGGGTCTTAGGTCTTTCAATATGCTGAGACTGTTCATTGTAGTGGGGTTTAAAATTTTATTGTTTGCTTGGAGTTATTTTTGTGTGTGTTTCATCTTTTGCATTCAGTTACATTGTTTTGTATGTGCTTATATATACTTTTGAAGTTAGAGAATTATGAGCTTATAGATCACATACATTTCATATAGCAGTTCATCTGTTATATAGGTACTTGTGCATAATATTCTATGATATAAAGAATACATGAAAAAATATGTACTTAGTTTATAATTAGTTCACTCAAATATTGTGTTAATGTAATCATATTGAGCAAAGCTCTATGAAAGCACATAGCAAAATAATTCAGTTTTGGTTAATAGCTATTTGTATACAGTATGGAGTGTCCTTATTTTGAAAACCATTACCTCTCTGGTAGGAATTTACCTATGGACCTTTTTTAATTATAATGAAAAAGGCTCTGAGCTTTGTGATTTCTCTCACAAATATCCTTATCCCCAACTTTTCCCTTGATTGCTGATGATTGATTATTTTCAAAAGGAATGACTGTGAAAGAATTTCATATTTTTAAAATAAATTCTTATGTTTTGTCCTGACATTTCAAGACATTGATCTGAAAATTTAGACAATGAGAGCAAAACATTAGATTATTAAAATATTATTTCCACTGTTTATTTTCCAAAAATAATTAGTATTTATTTATTAGTATTCTAATAAATACTATTATTACACTTATTAGTATTCTAAAGCAGCCCCTTGTTTTATCAGGAAGATATTCCGGAGTGGTAGCAAAAACTCTGCACTTAGAAACAGGAAGCAGCTATGCTCTACTTATAATTCTATCAGTAAGAAAGCTGATCATCCTGGACCCTATGTAACACCTTATTTACAGTTTTCTATCATGATAAAGCTCTTGCTAGAAAACTCAGTGTAATCTTACTGGAGTCACACTTGGTTTTTCCATTCCTTTCTCCCCTTCTCTACACACTTTTTGTGTCCCAGTGTTGAGACATACTAGCTGGAAGTTGCTACTCCACTGCCATTTGTCTTGTCCTTTTTTAATGATAAATTGGCGAATTATAGAAACTCTAAAGTATTTGTTCCTCTGTTTTTTTTTTTTTGTTTTGTTTAGTTTTGTTTTGTTTTCAGATAGGATTTATATCTAATAAATCAGGGACAGAGCTCTGTTGGGAAGAAAGGTCATCTCTGGTCTAATAAACTTTAGTGATGTGATGCTTCCATTATACTAAGCAGCCCTACAAACAAAAAAAAAGGTTGCCAAAAAGAAACATGAGCAATTGTCCCTTGATTCCTAAAGTTTTGTTTTTTTTTTTTTTTAAGAATTTGAGTTTATTTTCAGATTATAAAACTGTTGTTCTATATTTTACAATCTGATTTTATTAACAACAGAAAACATATTCTTGCTACTTGAATTATTGAATTATTCTGTTGAATTATTCTGTTTTCCTAGGAAATAATAAAATTTATATTCATTTTGCTAATCAAGTCACTGATTAAAATTTAGACACGACCTAATCTATACCCTTCATCAGTGAGGGATGAAGCTATACTTATAGAATAAAGGTTTTGCTTTCTATATTGAAACGTCCCCAAATTATAACCAATACTTACCATGATTCTTGTCAAGTTCCATGAGAACACAGCTCATATATCTTTCTTTAGGTCATTAACACCTCACACAGTGTCTTGCATAAAAGTCATGTTTGCTGTTCAAAGCCACACATTTTTAGTAATATGTTATAATAGCAAAAGGAAACTAGTACACAACTTAATGGTGTACTTACCATTTCTTTCTATTTAACATCCTCTTCTTTACTTTTGTCATAGAATTTATCATCATTGTGGGAAATATATCTATGTAAGTTTACTTTAAAATAGTTTCCTAATAAAATGTGAGATGCTTGGAAGCACATTTTTCTTAGCACTAAATCACCTTTAGCAAATAAATACTTCTTGATACTGAATAGTATGTTATATATAGTGAATGTATGAAAACATACATGTGTGAACAAATTTATTACTTAACCATAAAATTATTGAATTAGTACTAAGTCATGTCAAAAAACAAGTAAAATCAAGCAGCAGTCTACATTTTTTAAAGGACATATCCAATAGTTATAATTTTTGCTAACTCACACCAAATTTTCCATGGGGTTTTTGCTTTTGTCACTTTAATGCTGATTTTTAAAAAGATTTATTTATTCATGCATACAAGAACTGGGGTGCAAGCCAGAGGTGCTGGGGGTGAGAAGATTCACCAGAGACAGAGTAGGAAGTAGAGCAGGCAGCTCTATTGAAATACACTGCTAAGGGGAGCAGTGAGAGAGGCGGGAGAGGTCTGCTGCACCATGTGATTTTCTCCCTGGCCAGCTGAGGATCAAACTTGCGGCAGTGGCTGCCAATAGCTTCATAATGCTGAGAGTTAACCCCTTGCACCATCAGGAAAAAAAGTAAAGGTGAAATTTTATATATAAAGATGAAAAAGGGAAACTTTTTCTAATTAAATTGCACAGCAATTTTTAATCTTTTTTTTATTACAACAACACTGGTTTACAACATTGTATATGATTTTGAAGTATAGGGTCCTAATGTTCAGGTGTATGTTACCACATCACACACACCACCAAGGCACTGTAGCCCTCCATCATAACCCAATATATCCCCTCCTCACTTTTCTTTCCACCCTTCCACTTTAGTAGCCTCAATTCTAATTATATTTCCAAGGTCTGTTATTGATTTGGTTTTATCTGATTCATTAAAGCAAAAGTATCTGGTATTTGTCATTTTCCTTCTGATTTATTTCACTAAGCATAATAGCCTCCATTCCCACCCATGTTGTCACAAATGCCAATACTTTATCATTTTTTATAACTGAGTAGTATTCCATTGTATATTTACACCACATCTTCTTAGATCATTTGTCTGTCTTTGGAGATTTAATTTGTTCCCAAAACTTGGCCATTGCAAATAATGTTGCAGTGAATATAGGAGTGCATATATCCCTTGAATTAGTGGTTTTGCATTCTTCAGGTAAATGCCTAGGATTGAAATTGATGGATCATGTGGTAAATTTCTTTTTAATATTCTGAGAAATCTCCAGACTTTTTTTTTTCATAAGAACTGGGCCAATTAACACCCCCACCAACAGTGTAAGAGAACATTTTTCCTTATTATTAAACTTAAGGCAGTTCTACCTTTTTCTCCCAAGTCAACTCTCTTGGAGGACATGGTCATTGATCTTCTAAGTGGGGAATTGAAGTAGTGGTAAGGCCAAAAATAAGATTAATTATGATATTTGAGATTTAGAAAGGATGGGGAGTTTTGCAAGTCAGAATAATGGGTTAACTGTATGTGAAAAATACAAACAGGTTAATCACAGTTTAATGAAATAATTCCTAGCATGAAATTATTCCTTGAATTTCAAACAAACAGAGGACTTATGTATGTCAGGTTTGGTGTGAAGCATATCTTGGTATGAATATGAGTATAAAAACTAATTTCTTCATCAATGAGAACTTCCTTATCCCAATTTTTGTAATGTGCAAACTGAGAAGCAGGGAATAACATAATCTCCAGATCCAAAAGTTTGAGTCACTACATCTGTTTTGTCTAGTACATATGTGATTTACTGTTGCAATTAACTTCTTTCTTTCCTTCGATTGCAGACTAAATTTAAATTGTCTGTACTACTATGGATTCTGGATCATGAAGGAAATCAATATTTTTTTCATCTGAGTGATAACATCTTTTCTGCAACTAAAGAACCATATAAACCTGACTACATGGCTGGCTGGAATCATACAGGTGTGAAGGAATTCCTTCTGGTAGGTTTAACTGAAAATCCTAATTTGCAAGTCCCCCTCTTTTTGCTTTTCTCCTTCATTTATTCCATCACACTGGTAGGTAATTGGGGGATGATTATCTTGATCTGGTTAAATACCCAACTTCATACTCCAATGTACTTCTTCCTCAGCAACCTCTCTTTTTGTGATATTTGTTACTCTACTGTCTTTGCTCCTAAGATGTTGGTCAACTTCTTATCAAAACACAAGGCCAGCACTTTTTATGGCTGTGTTCTACAGAGTTTCTTTTTTGCAGTGTATGTAACCACAGAAGGCATCCTCCTGTCTATGATGGCTTATGATCGTTTTGTGGCCATAGCTAATCCCTTACTGTACACAGTCATAATGACCCAAAGGGTGTGTATTCAGATGGTCCTTGCATCTTACTTGGGTGGCCTCATTAACTCACTGACACACACTATAGGTCTGCTCAGACTAGACTTCTGTGGTCCTAATGTTGTAAATCACTATTTCTGCGACGTTCCCCCACTTCTGAGGCTTTCTTGTTCTGATGCCCATAGGAATGAAATGCTGCTTTTAATATTCTCTGGGGTCATTGCAATGTTCACTTTTATTATCATCATGGTCTCGTATGTCCGCATCATCATTGCCATCCAGAGAATCCGCTCAGCCGAGGGGAGGCGCAAAGCCTTCTCTACCTGTGCCTCCCACCTGACTGCTGTGACCTTATTTTATGGGTCTGTGACCTTTAGTTACATCCAGCCAAGTTCTCAGTATTCTTTGGAACAAGAGAAGGTCTCTGCTGTATTTTATACATTGGTGATCCCCATGCTAAATCCACTGATTTATAGCTTGAGGAATAAGGACGTGAAAGATGCAGCAAAACGATCAATATTGCGGAAGAGAACCCCAACTTGATTCAATATATCTAGGGTTTTGTTAACGTCAACCTGAAAATATATTCTTTAAAATTGTATCACATATACAATCACAAACAAAACCATGATCAAGATACTCTCGTGAAATTTGAGACTTGAGTCTTAAGTTCAATCTGAATATTGAAAATTACTCTATTTCACTGTTGTGTAGGTTAATTTTCATTCTCTCAAGAATTTATACTTTTGTTTTATAACAAATTCTCATACAAATTCTAAAATAACTCACCTTGGGTTTAGAAGAATCTGATACCGACTCAATCAAAAGTGTGCTCCAACAATATGCATTATCAAATGCTTTGCTATCTGAAAGAAAAATCAAAATGGTGTCTTGGTTTGATTTCTTTAGGTACTACCATTATTTTTTATTCTAAAATGGGCATCACATGTTAAACCATATGTTTCCCCTTCATATTTAAATTGCATGTCTTAATGATATCTTAGAATAAATGGGTAGAAAAAATAGCTCTCATTAGATATAGTTTATTAATTCTACATATTTATATTGTGTTCCTTTATTATGTCAGTTACTCTGGGAGATAAAAATACAAATAATTTAAGATTAGTTTTGGAAAAAACATGGTAAGTAGGGAGAAGTATTTCAAGATAAAAAATGAATTGACACATGGGATATTTAAACAAAAGCAAAAGCAAATAAGGAAGTCATCTTATTTAGTATCATACATAATAAGGCCCTTTAATGACTGAATAAATTGGATTAAGACTCTCTCAATAGGTAATAAGTAAAAGTCTAAGTGAAGAAAAAAGTAGACTTTAAGAAAATTTCTATGATTCCAGTATAATCAACATATTAGAAATTAAAAAGAAAATGGTGGAAAAATCATTCTGAAACCATAAAGAAAAATTATTCTGAGGCTAAGGAATATATAAAAAGAAACATAGTTAAAAGCTGGTATATGAAAATCTTCATCATGGTTTGATAAATGGTTAGATTTCTTTTGAGAAGAAAATATTTACATGACTGAAGATTTTGAAACTGTATGATAATTTGGTAAGGAGAACCTTGAACTCTAAGAATCTACTTGTCATTTAGATTTTTGAAGGAAGAGATATCTTTTTTTTATTTTAAAAAAAGATTTATTTATTAATGCATACAAGAACTGGGGTGTAGGCCAGAGGTGTGGGGAGGTGAGAGGATTTACCAGACACAGAATGGGGAGCAGAACAGGTGGACCAATTGAAATACACTGCTGAGGGTTTGGGCCTCCCCTGGTGGCACAAGCGGTTGAGTTCTGAGTTGCGAAGCTGCCCACAGCTTCTGCAGCGCTGGTTCGGCAAGGGTCCCACATGGAGCGCAGACCTCTCCTGCCGCCGGCTGCTCCCCTCAGCAGTGTACTTTGCCAGTCTGCCTTCTCTGCTCTCCCCTCTGGCTCTGGTGAATTCTCTCACCCTTCTGCACTTCTGACTGTACCCAGTGCTTGTATAAATAAATTAATTAATTAAAAAAAAAGAAATACACTGCTGAGGGGAGCAGTGGGTGAGTCAGCAGAGGTCTGCTGTGCCATGTGGGTTAGCCCCCTGGCAGGAGATTGAACTCATGAGGCAGTGGCTGGTGACAGTTTGATAGCACTGTGTCTTTAACCCCTGCACCACGGGAGAGGCCCCTGGAGGAAGAGCTTTCTGAGACAAGATATAGTCAAATGTATAGCCAAAAAGGTAGGATATTCCCTATATTGTTAAAGAAAAACAACAAAAAGATCAGAACTGGAACAAAGAGTGAAAGAGTGATAAAGAAAATAGATGTTGTCAGAGGGGAGAAAAGGAGCAGATTATGGAAGGTGCTTGCAGGACTTTGCATTTGAGTGAAGCGAAATGAAGGCATATGGAGGTTGGAGTCATGCAGAGGAGTGACATGGTCCAACTTACATCTGGGAAAGCTCGTTTTGGCTACTGGATTGATGGTAACTGGACCATAAAATGGCAAGAGTGAAAGACAGAAGTCTAGGCAGGAGACTGCACAACAGTACAGCTAAGATTTAATGGTATATGTTAGACCAGAGCCATGATAGTGAAACTTGTGAGACACACAGACACAAGATGTATTTTGATAATAGACCTGGCAAGAAGTGAGGGAAAGAGAGGAGGCAAAGTTGACTGCCAGGGTTTCTTTATAGACAAGCAGAAGATAAACATGCTTTGGAGAACATACAAGAGATGGATGAATGGATGGATGGATGGATGGCTAGAGAGAGATATATTTCAAGCACATATACATTTACAAGTTGACAATATTACAGGATCAAACAAAATTCTCAATATACATCGAAGGATGCTGTGTACTAATTCTGTAATAGTGAACAAGATACTTAATTTTGCTAATCCAGTATTTTCAATCATAAAAAGAAATGACCATTCCACTTCAAAGTTTCATAGAAAGATAGGTAGATTCACTGGACAGCTGAATGATGGATACATAGATATAGAAATGTAGATGTTGATACCATGAGATGTAACTACAGAATTTAATATGATTTCAGTATTTGTGAAAAACTGAAATCCTCCACTATAGAAAAATATGAAAAATTCAAGGATATTTCAAGGTCAAGGATCTCAAACATATAAATAATGTCAGTCAAGAAATTGTAAAATATAATTTTTGTTATAGCACACTGCATACTGAACAGTTTTCAGGATATTGTAAGAAGATGAATGCATTATCTAATATCAGATTACAAGCTTTTGGAAAACTTACATCTGTACTGGATATTATCAAATAATATATTGCTATTATAAAAATATATGTCTAAGTGGAATATATTATATGTTTATATTACATATTGTTATATATTATGTATTCTATATAAAGAGGTTGAGAGAGTGATAAATGTATCAATTCCAATTGGTATTTATAAGGGGTATCCATGAAAATATGGTTTGAATATTCCAGCAAATTTATTTGTTGAACCTCTTCTACAAGTTTGAAATGTTTCAAAATAAAAAGGAAATCATGAGGAAAAGTGCTTATAAAATGACAAGAAGACTTTTACTTCTGTATGGATGGAGAAGTTTGTGATCAAAACAGCATTTGTGTAAAAATAACAAAAAGGCTCGAAAAGACACTGGTGCTATTCCTTGAGGAAAAGTGTTAGTAGCTGCTAAGTTAAAGAGAACCGGACTGTCTTAGAATTCAGAGAGGTATAAACTGAAGATGTGAGCTGACTCTTTAACTCACTGACTCAGGATACACTTGAAAATAAAGGTGGGCACACTTGGAGGGTTCTGCAAAGGTTCAGGGGAACCAAGAGATCTAAAGACAAATGCTTTCAGGTTTCACTGCAATGGTTGTATTTCCTCTTAGGGGAGTTAGCCAGACTCTGGGCCTAAGCAGCCTGGAGACCAAATAAATCGACAGAGGGACAGATAGACAATAGATGGTGATGATAATAATGATGATGAAGAAGATACACAAACAGAAACATGGATAAATTTAAGTGGAGAACTTTTGAAAAGCAGAGATTTTTTTTTATATTGAGTGAATTTGACATGTGACATTGCATAAATTTAAGGTGTACAACATGTTACCTTGATGCATTTAGATACTATAATATGATTGTTATTGTAGCAATGATGACCACATTTTGTAATTATAGTACAATGTCATTGTCTATATTCTTTATACTGTGCATATTGTTAAGGGTTTAATACTGTGCATATTGTTAAGGCTTTTATCACTACTCATTGCAAGTTTGGACCCTTCAGCAGTATCAGTCATATCCCCTCCACCTCTAGCCCTGGTAGCCATTTTATTCAGAGGGGAACTTTTAGTGGTGCTTCAAACAGAAAAAAGATTGAAGATTGTGAATCATCAAGAGGGCTACTGGTTCTGACCCCTTGTCCTGTGATTGCTCTGAAAACAGAAAAGCAGTTGATCCTTAAACAGCCATATAGGGTGGCAAGATAAATCTAGTCACACAGGAGCTTGTTTCTCTGCACAGGAAATGGATGGGGTGAGGAGGGAGGATGAGGATTGTCAGAAACTGGTCTGAGTCACAGAGACAGATTGAGCTGTGTTCTTGCTGTTCTTGGGAGGAAGAATTAGCAACAAATGCATCAAAATATTAATCAGATTTTGATCCTGCCATAAGTCATGCACAGAAGACTAGCGGTTTCTTTCTTTTTTTTTTAAGATTTATTTATTTATTTATACAAGCACTGGGTACAGTCAGAAGTGCAGGAGGGTGAGAGGATTCACCAGAGCAGAGTGGGGAACAGAACAGACAGACTGACGAAATACACTGCTGAGGGGAGCAGCAGGTGTGGCAGAAGTCTGTCGTGCCATGTGGGACCCTTGCCGGTGGCTGGGGATCGAACCTGCCCTGCAGAGGCTGCGGGGGTGGGGGGGAAGGGGGGCAGATTTGCAGCCTAGCGCTCAACTGCTGTGCCACCAGGGGAGGCCCCAAGACTGGAAGTTTCTGAAGCACAAGGTGATTCAGACTCTGGAGATTCAGAGAGTACAACTGTTCTCAGTCTGTAAGCGCTGGGTAAATAATCTCCACCAGAGGCAGAAGCCTGCATCAAATAACAGTCAGCAGCCCCCCAAGATACTGGTTGCACTTTGAAGTTGTATAGGGCAGGAGGTTAAGTTCACTCCTCCCAAGAATTAAAAGTGAATTTTCTGCAGTATTTAGGGGCTAGAGCAGAGAGGGGAAGTGATCCCCACCTTTTGATTAATATGAAAATTTGACATTCCTGAGACAGAGACAAGTCAGGAAATAACTGAGGTATAACCAACCTAATAAACAATTGAATTGCCATAACCAGTTTCTCTCTCTTTATATCATTGTAGATGTAAGAAAGTAAATAAAAAAGAAGAAGACTACATGTTGGAATTTTAAAAATGATTTAAAAATACTACAATTAGCTTAATAAAATAAAGAAAAAGAAAAAATCTAAGATGAAATATTTCACTAAAGAAATAATCCGAAACATTCTGTTCTCTGCTTTTGAGTTTGCTATTTTAAATACCAAATAAAAGTGGAATCATGAAATATTTTTAGTATAATGTCCTCCAGATTAATTCATGCTAATACAAAGGTCAGGATTCCCTTCATTTTAAAAGCTGAATATATCATGTTTTCCTTAGTCATTCATTGGATGATGGGCATTTGCATTGTTTTTATGGCTTGACTATCATAAATAATGCCACCGTGGATAAAGGAATGCAGATACCTAGCTCTTCAGTGGGAGGGGGGAAAGAGAACTGTTATTAATGGATACAAAGTTTTAGTGATGCAGGAGGAAAGTTCTAGAGATCTGCTATAAAACATAGTTGGAATTTATATTGTGCACTTAAAAATTTAAGAGAGTAGATGTTATGTTAAATGTTTCTATGACTACAAGAAAGCAGAGAAGCATAAGGAAACAGAGCTGATGGACTTGTCTGTTGCCTTGATCTTGGTGATGCATTCATAGGTGCATGCATATGTTTAAGTGCATCAAAGTTTACATTAAATGTGTGCAGGTTGCTGGCATGTCAATTGTATCTCGATAAAACTGTTCAAAAAGCTTTTTTTGAATTAGCTTTTTTTGAATTCTAAAATTAAAAAAAACATAAATCAGAAAATTAGAATTCACAGGAAGAATTTAAGGGTATATCAGACAAAGCAGAAGACAGGATTGATAAACACACACACACACACACTCCCCAACATAAATGATCTGAGTTAATCAACGAGAGAGAGAAAATAAGAGCATGGGAGACATGTGATGCAATGAAAGGTAGGACATTAATGCCCCGGAAAAATAACAGAAAATGGGTAGAATAAATATTTTAAAAGCAAATGGGCAAAATCCTCATAACTCATATTTACAGAAAGATAAGAAAATAATATTTCTACAAATGAATATAAGTTTTATCATGTCTTGCTCTACTATCCTAAAACCTGACGGTTTGGCTGTTTGTGTGCATGTGTGTGTGTTTTCTGATAACTGAGTAGGCTCAGGTATAATGTGTTCTTCTAGAAGACTTCCCTTGCTAATATACCCAAAAGGTGTCATATCAATTTCTCTGCATTTTTTTTTTCAGAGATCATACATTCTGTTTTTCCCAACAATTGTCCCACATTTCATTTATAACTACATTGAAAAAAATAAATGCCTAAGGGAGCCATTAAATTCTTAAGAGTTTCCTAAATCCCTCAAGGAACAGAGAAATTTTTACTATGTTTATTATATTCTTCTGATGAACTAAGCTCCAGGGACTCTATTCCCACTTGAACTCAGGTAAATACCAATTGAATCTTTATCTAAATGTGTCTTCTGACATCACTGCTTTTTGATCAGCTTGCTCTAGCTTTCACATCTTGGAGACTGTAACTTTGGTTCTCATTTAGTAAAGGATAAGTTTGAATTTCAATTTTTCTATCTGTAACTATTGTTATTTACCTAATTGAGGTACCACTAGACATCACATAAATGTAATTATTTTCTGTATTTTGGTTTTAGGGAGAACATAGAGATGTAAACTATGGAAGGGTGGTGATGTGGCTTCTAAATAAGCTGAGGTGTTAAACATTTTTCCTTCCATTGGGAGGTCAAATTCACTTATTTAGATATTCCATATACAAAATATTGAAAATCATTTAAAAATACTAAACAAGAAGATGCTGAAGAAAAATCAAAGGATGATCACACCTTAATCTGAAAACATTTTAGATTTGCAAGGGTGGTAGGAATTTGTATCATGTTTATTTTTTCAACCCCTTATTCTATATTTAAATATATTTTTCTATATTAACATCAATACTGTTTTTGCAACTTCTACTGGAATAATTAAAAAACACTGTTTTATTTCTTTTTTAAAAAGTTTTGTTTTATTTTTATTATGCATACAAGAGCTGCAGTGTAGGCCAGAGGTGCTGCAGTGGCTGCTGATAGATAGCTTCATAGTACTGAGGTTGAACCCCTTGTGCAGCCAGGGAGGCCTGGAAAAAAATGTTTTAATTTCATTTGAAATATTTGGAATATGCTTTCCTAAAGGATGAATTGGCAGCAAAGTCACAGCTACATACCCCCATGGAGATAATTCATCTGAAACTGTAAAGACTCTAGACCTACCATTATTATTTCCATTTCTTACTACTTCAACAATCTTGCAGTGTTGTTTTTTTTTTTTCTTAGTTTTACCTGTTATATACAAGAAATATTATCTTTCAAAAGAAAGAATGATGAAACTACAAAAGCCATTATTCTGGTTCTATATTTATATAGGTGGGAAAATATAGTTAATTTTTCAGACAAAATGTAGTAAGAATCAACAAATGTGTATTAAGTGGAAAAGACACTGTATTTTCTAAGAAATGTGTTCCTTGTTCATAGAAACAAATATGGTGAAGAAGTATCTGTATGATTTTTAGGTTTGCATTATTTTATGGGTTTACTTTCCCTTTTCTCAGAAAAAATATATAAACTCCTTTCTATCCTGAGTAGGTGTTTCAATTGGGTCTTTCAAGGCCAATAAATTAGAAGTTTATCTCATCATGTTGTGAATTATAGCCAAGAGCTCTCCACCCCCTTCCCCATCAATATCTCCGAAGCCAATGCCTCCGGCTAATGCTAAAATTCTCAAGTTTTGTTTTGTCTCCTAAAGATTTATTTATTTATTTGTTATGTAGAAGAACTGGGGTGTTGGCCAGAGGTGTGGTGGGTGAGAGGATTCACCAGAGACAGAGTGGGGAGCAGAACAGGTGGCTTTAATGAAATACACTGCTGAGGTGAGCAGCACTCGAGACAGGAGAGGTCTGCTGTGCCATGTGGGTCAGGTCCCTGGCCAGGGATCAAACTCAGGCCTTAGTGGTGATAGCACTGAGACTTAACCCATAGGCCACCAGGGAGACTTCAACTCCAACATTTTTGACATTAGCTGCCGTTCAATACAAAGTGAATACTTTAAAGGATGCCTTAGATGGTCTCACAAATTAAATTTCCAACTTCAGTTACTATGTTGTTATTAACTGGACTTTTCTTAACACATTATAGAATGAAATTCACTTTAGTTTCTTTCTTCACATTAAGATCACTATTTTGACTGCATCTGGATTCTAAGATCCTAGCATCTTCTGTTCTCACAGAAGTTCCTTATGATATAGGCAAATAAACAGTGTTGGAGGAAACTAGAGATGTTCTATTTTTATAGACAAGACAATCAGAGAACAGACATCAATAATTCAAGTCACACAGCTTGTTAGGTATCCCAGACAGTCTTGATTTTGCAATAGCTAATTCTCAACTGATTCCAATCTTTCTTCATTGACAGGTAGCAAGAAAAAAACACATGGCAGAAGGTAATTTCACACTGGTTACTGAGTTTGTCCTTTTGGGACTTACAGACAGTGCTGAACTGAAAGTGGTCCTCTTCCTGCTATTCCTGCTGATCTATGCTGTTTCCTTGGTGGGAAATCTAGGAATGCTCTTTCTGATCCAAATAACCTCCAAACTCCAAACCCCCATGTATCACTTCCTTAGCTGTCTATCCTTTGTTGATGCCTGCTACTCCTCAGTCTTTGCACCCAAAATGCTGCTGAACTTCTTTGTTGCACGGGAGACAATCTCTTTCTCTGCGTGCATCGTGCAGTATTTCTTTTTTGTCTCACTTCTTACTACCGAGGGCTTCTTGCTGGCAGCAATGGCTTATGACCGCTATATGGCCATTGCCAACCCTTTACTTTATACTATAGCTATGACTAAAATAGTGTGCTTTGTCCTGGTCGCTGGATCGTGTGTAGGAGGCGTAATCAACTCACTGACCCACACAATTTGTTTGCTGAAACTGTCTTTCTGTGGCCCGAATGTCATCAGTCATTTCTTCTGTGACCTTCCCCCGCTGCTGAAGCTGTCATGTTCTGACACATCCATGAATGAGCTGCTGCTGTTGATCTTCTCCGGCGTTATTGCCATGCTCACCTTCCTGATAGTGATGGTCTCCTACGTCTTCATCATCGCCGCTATCCTGAGGATCCGCTCCTCAGCGGGGAGACACAAAGCCTTCTCTACCTGTGCTTCCCACCTGACAGCAGTGACTTTATTCTATGACTCTATCAGCTTTAGTTATATTCAGCCAAGCTCCCAGTATTCTCTAGAACAAGAGAAGGTGGTATCTGTGTTTTATACCCTGGTGATTCCAATGTTAAACCCGTTGATTTACAGCTTAAGGAACAAGGAAGTGAAGGATGCAGTGAAGAAGGCTTTAGAAATGAAATATTTTTCTTGTTGCGTTCATAATAGATGGGCCCCAAAATAGTACACAACATTGTGTGATGTTTATATGCATTTATTAAGACTTTGCACCAGAGAAGTCTTAGAGTTTATGTAATTGGAAATTGTTATTTTACAGTAGAAGAAAAAACATCTTAGAAGAATGACATGCTATGGAGCAGGAAGCTGGTTATCCTGTAAACTGATCTAAAAACAATACTAAAATCTAAGCTAGTGGTCTCTGGATAATTGGTGACATTTTCATTCCTCTATGTGAATAGAAATCAATATATACATGTAGATAAAGAGACATACAAACACACAAAATTAGAGAGAAACAAACATTTAATTCATAAAAATAAAATATCTCTTAACTAGGTATCTCTATTGAGATGAGTAAAAATTGAAATACTTTTAAAACAAAAATTATGGATTCTTGCAGTATTCACAAAACTGACAGAAACATGTTCCTGAGATCAGTCTGAATTCGTTATAGCCAGACTGTCTTTAAAATAAATAAAAAAAATTAAACATAGCCAGAAGGAGAACTTAGTTTTAGATTACCATTCCACTCATGGTGATTAGTCTAAAGCACATCCTTATTCCTGGCCTCAGTTTCCACCACATTTTCGCAAGAGAAAAATCTGTGCTATGAATTCTAGGCAGGGAAAATGTGTGAAGTCAATGGTTTCCCTTCAAATCAAATCATATATACAGGTCCATAATAATAAAATCAAACTCAGAAATAGTGATCTCTTTTCTCTAAATTGCTGTAAAACTGTATTCTAAATAATATCTTCATTTACAAAGATAATTATATTTATATGGGAGTTTATTTCAAGTTCTGAAATAATTAAAGACAACTAGACTAAGCAGCACAATGAGACCGCTAAGTGCCCCACTATAAATAAAAAATTAATTCATGTTTCTACAGTAGGCTAGAGTTGTTTATTTTTTTTTCCTCTCAGTGGCAGCCCAAATTACATGAGTGGCTCTAATATTTGTGAAGGCAACAAATTGGAATGTGAGGGGGAAAAAGAAATGGTAACTAATTGAGATGTTAGATATTTGTGAGAGATATTAAAATGAAAGTTCACTTTTCCAAATGAAATCATAGCAATAATACCAACAATATCACCAAAAACAGCATATATCTTTTCTATAATCCTTCATGATTTTTCAAGATCACTTAATATATTGCTTGAAACTGGGTTTCCTAAGGCTGCATATAAGTGACATTTATGCATAGGAGGTATTCTTATAAATGCATTTGCATGTAAGTTTTAATTGGAAGAATAAATAAATGATAAAAGAATAGTGATCATAAGTAAGCCTAATGTTATATGGTTCATAATTGTTCAAGAACATTCAATATCATTCCTATAAACTATGAACCACAGAGCATGTTAGCAAGATCACTGAAACTCAGAAAAATAATGAATTAAATGATTTATAATTTTATATAAATACTGCTTAAATATATCTTATAAAAGAAGGGACTGACTTCCCAAGACAAAGTTCATTAAATGTGTTCACTATAGTTCACTACATTTAGAAAGGAAGTTATTTTATGGAAAAATTGTTTTTTCCCTAGTGTTGGCCTTCAACTCATTCTCCAAAATAGCTCCTATGTTACACTGTGAACAGGAATGAGATGCTGAAAAGAGGGGAAAAAATTCCCTCATCTAGATTTCAGAGAAAAATGGAGGGTGTTAATCAATTTATAGGCTACACATTAGGAAATGAACCACCTATTATATTTTATTTCCATATTCATATAAATCTATCTCTCTCTCTCTCTCTCTCTCTCTCTCTCTATATATATATATATATATATATATATATATATATAGACTAATTGAATGAAACTGAGTGAAACAGATTCTAAATGTTCTCAACTGGCAAATTTAATTAGTCAAAAGAAGGTAAATGAGAACCTGATCAGCATGCTATTACATCAATTGTGTAAAATATCAGAAAAATAATTTAAGAATAGAAATGTGTAACTCCAATCCCTTTACATTATAATTGAAATTGGTTAATGATTATTTTACAAAACTTTCCTTTTAGCCATCAGAACATCTCTGTTAATTATGTATTCATCTTTGCATTCCATAAGGGTTGCCTTGGGGTTTGCAATTTAAAAACTGACCTACTGCACTAGGAAAATAAGTCATGGGCATCATATGGCCTGGCTGTGTGGACACTGGCACCATGGTGATGCTTGTCACTTATTAAGTGACCTATGAGCCAACAAAACTGTGTTCTAGGATTGGAGATTTGGTGTTATGTTGTCAGCACATGGTGATTACTTTGATCCCACTTTTGGTGCCAGTTTGCAGTTACCTCAAGTCAAATGTGGTCTGCGGACAAATTCCAAATCCAGGTTATGGACTTCTAAGGCTCAATATGTCAATCCTATCTGGACCCTAATCTGACACAGAGTATCTTCTGAAAACACTAACTAATGGTGTCTCCCTTCCCCTATAAACCCATCACTGATTAGATTTTACCAATTAATTAATGATTTTTATTTCCACTTAAACAAGATGTATCTTTCTCCTTAGAGGGTATCTGGACTAGTCTTAGAAGATCTTAGAAGGTCTTAGAATGCATGTTTTCTTCATTCTGAGGCTCCTCATATGTTCAGTTTTTGCTAAATCCTGTCCTGAGTATAATTTTTCTTAAATTGGATTTCCCTATCTTTTCCCTATTCTTTTTTTTTTTTTAAGATTTATTTATTTATGCATACAAGAGCCGGGGTACAGGCCAGAGGTGTGGGGGTGGTGGGATGAGAACATTCAGCAAAGACAGAGAGGGGAACAGAACAGGCAGACTGGCTGAAAATACACTGCTGTGTGGAGCAGCAGGTGAGACAGGAGAGGTCTGCTGCACCATGTGGGTAGCTCCCTGGCTGGCCAGGGATCAAACTCATACTTCAGAGGCTAAGAATGGCTTCACAGTGTGGTGCTTAACCCCTTGTGCCACCAGGGAGGCCCCTTCACTATTCTTCATGCAATGTATTTTCAAGTCCCATCACCATTATGTTTACTCCTTAGCTTGTCAACATTTAAAGACTGCATGGAATAATCAGTGACAGCAATAGTGACTTTAAGATCTGATAACCATGACTTTAAATCATTACTCTACTACTGCTTAAAAGGCAAGCTTGGACAATTTCTTTAGTTATTCTGGGCCACCTAAAATGTGAATCAGAATATCTAATTAAGTAAACTCATATAAAGGCTAGAGATAATAGTTATACCTAGAACATACTAGGCATTTAATAAATAGAAACAATTTAAACAAGGACCCTGCTTAACATTTGACTGACAAAGAAAAAGAAATATTCTTGTTAATAAAATTAATTGTAATATTCCTTATGCCTTCGTCAGTTTTCACTGTTGCTCCATTTTAAAAATCACTGCAAATTTTCTCCAGCTGTTCTATGCAGTTGTGTTTGTTGGTTTGGTTCCCCAGACCTGTCTGAGTGACTCAATCGCCCTCCTCTCTTTTTCACATTTGCCTCCCATTTCATCCTGCTCTGACCTCCCCATATATTTTTTTATTTTGTCCTCTAAGTATCAGGCTACTCAATATTTCTAAAACTTCCTTTTATGTTCAGTCACTGTAGGGACAAAAAATGTTGAAACCTGATACTTAACTTAGTGTCTTACTTGGTTAAATTACCCCTGATATTATGCATGGAAACAGTCTAGTGTATGAAAAACACACATACCCCTGACATTTATTTAATTATTGTTACAATATTGTGTTGTCTTACAATGAAATGTGTAACTTCCCATATGTACTATAATAATGACGTCTTTATGGAAGCACATGGTCATCAGCAAATGGAATTTTCATCTTTAGAATGAAAAAAATGTATATGTTGTACATAATAGGTATTGAAGTTAATTTATGTAAACCATAATTATAAACACTGGCAGAGTTCATTTTTAATAGTTCAGGTTTTCCTTGTACAGCTTCCTATAGGTAAGACACAATCATATGTAACATTTTTCTCTAAAAAAATGAAAATGACAAATACTGAGCGGCTATACTTTGGAAAAATAGTGCTGGGGCCTGATTTTCCCCAGGAAAATGAAATTGTTTAAATGAAACTAATGTTCACAGAATCACTGGGGATTCCATCCTCCAAAGACTCTGAGCCAAATATAAACACAAGTCAGGAAGGGGAGAGAAAGGGGCAAACTTCCTTACAACGCCAGGTAAGTGGTACGTTTATGTGCTCTAACCAAGGTATTATAAATACCTTGCTTGATTTTCAAAAACAACAACTCTATAAATGCTGTGAAGAAGAAGAATGTGAAGATAAAACCTCTGCCTCAAATTATTTTTAATAATCGAGAAAAGCAAAATAGTAGTAGTCCATTACTAAGTCAATTGGTTCTCTTGTTATAATTAGTGGGTTTATTCTGTATTTCTTTGGGTAGCTGTGTTTAAGTTTCAATAACTATGTACATGTATTTTTGTAAATTGTGCGAGGGAATTTATTTAGAGAAATCCTTTAAAATCTAAGCTTTATTATTAAAAACTGTTGAATTTTGTTAAATCTGAGCAAAAGAGCAAGGGTGTATTGAACCAGAGCTAATTTTTGTCTCAAAGATTAGTTTATTTTCATAACTGGCTTTACAGCAAAAGAATAGCAGCATGAAAGGCAGCCCAGTGAAAATGAGTACTTATTAAAGAAAAATTACAGAAAAACATGAAATCTGTGAAATAAGAAGAAATGCATCAGCATAAGAGCAAATTGATTTGTTTAAAAACAAAATCAATCAAGGCACAACTAACTAAACAAAACTAAACAAAAAAAGAGCAAAAAAACAAAAATTACTTTATCAAAGCATATTTGTCCAGCATGGGAACAGATAAGCCAGTCTCTATTTTCTTTATTTGTTTCACTTTGGGTGCCAGCCAATTTTCACACATTTTCTTATTTAATCTCACATCTCTGTCTTCAGGATGATTTTTACATACAACTAATAATTAGTGTAGAAAATTAAGAGTTAATCATGAAATCAC